AACCTCGGACCATGTGCATGGTCGGCGAGAGTCCTAACCACTGTGCCACCGACGTGCCACGAGATGTGATTGGTGATACATTTCCAAATCGTTCTCAATAGTATGGATGAATTGATTCTTTGTGACTCTTTTCAACCATGCACATGGTCCAGGGTTCGATCCTTTGCTGACGCACACCTGATATCAATCGTCGGCTTACAAAATTGGCGCTATCGATATCACATGCTGAAAATTCCATATTTCTACCAAAAGGTACCGCTTGGAATCAAGCTGTAAAAAAAGAACGGTCCATGTGTTGAGAACGCACAACTAATCTGTAGACGACCAATCATAGTAACCAATTTTCTTCGCATAAAAATGACGTCTACTTGTAACATTAGAAGACGAGAGACTTATTAAAGAAATGTTTGTTGATATTGGATGGTTGGAGGCAATCGGTCACAGGAAGCCTCGGCCCTAGGTTTATGCCAGTTGGCAGTCATTACGAAGATGTATCTGCGACCTCGAAGGAACTCATATCCCTTCTTCGATTCGAACCCGCATCATCCAGTGCAGCAGTCAGAGATGTTACCACTAAGTAATTCCGGATTGCGATTGACCTCGTGTAGGGCTGTTTAGGATACTCTGATCGGAAACTAGTCAGTAACTAATGTAATGTGTCTAGTCATTTATATACTGCAGGCTGAATTCTGTCAGGCAAGTTTTTAATGTGGCTGCCATTCTAGGACTAGATACATTACACTAGTTACTAGTTAGTGCCCAATCAAAAGGAATGTTTATTTGGAATTTGGTATCTGTATGTATATCTGTATCTGTACGCCTTATCAGCAGCGCACTATTTCCAGGGATCTTCTGTGTTATCCCAACTCTGGTCTTCTTATTGCATTTCTTTGTGTTCCTTTCAAGCCTCCCATCTATTTCTGCAACGCTCTATGATTTTCCTTCTCTGACATTGAATCTATTTCCCTGCTAATATATATGTATAAAACTTGGGAATGTGGCAGTAAGTAATTCCATATTAGCTTGTTTATTAGATATATCACACAATGAAACATTATTATTCACTGGATAACGTTTCGAACAAAATTTACAGGAAGCCTACACATTCAAACAGATATTTAGATTCCCAAGCATCCCATCGTATGTCAGTGAAAATAAAAGTGGTGAAACATCTAAGTGATAGAGCACAAAAACTAAGTAGTACCAAGGAAAATCTAAGACAGGAAGTGAGGCATATAAGAGAAGCTTTGAAACTTAATAATTACCCTGATAAATTAGTAAGGAAATATGCAAGGAAATGTAAAAATATAATAAATAATGATAGTAGTGACAGTGACATAATAATAATTATAATAATAATAATTAAAGACAAATTCAGCGAAGAAAAGTTTCTTTATCGACGAAATCATCTTCAGAAGCTGTACAGTCGTATTTATAAATACACCTTAGGCCACTTAGCTCCACCAGATTCGTCTCTCAAGGTCATCTACAAGTGAAGCCAAATGGTATAAAGGGAGTCAGGTTTTGACACTTATGTATGGCGGAGGCGTTGGTAATTTGCCAATACAACCCTGAGCTCTGTATACAGAAAACGTTTGTCCAGTCTCTTATTCTACCTTGGTCTTAGCCTCTCGACTAATTGTTCCCTGTAAAAAAAGTTTTGATTTTTCTTTTTTTATTTTACTTTTAGTTTGCTTTTGCTTTAATAATTAATTCACTATTATCACCCCCATATGCTCCTTTTGTACATTTCACACCCTATTCATACTTTTTAAATTGACACTCAAATACCTTTATTCTCACTCAGTAGCAATTTTAACCTTACCAAATTTCTATCTTTGTGCCATCAATTTTCACTTCTAAAGCCATTTCTGAGTAATTATATCAATTATGTCACCCCCTAGTACTCAATAATAGACCACTATATATTTTTTTGTATAAACACGACTGTACAGCCTCTGAAGATGACTTCGTCGATAAAAAAAATTTTCTTCGCTGAGTTTCTCTTTTATTTCCTTCTTGACTCAATGGGAATTTTCGGTGATAATAATAATATTAATGACAGCATGCATGTCAAATATGTGCAAGATAACACCAACAATAAGGAATCTAAATCACCAGTAGTAATTCCATGCAAGGAAGGAACCTTGGAAGACTTAAACAGAATTCCTAACAAGGCAGGAATAAAAGTGGCTGGCATTCAAACTGCCCACAAACTAAATTAGGAACAAGCTTTGTCGGTTTTTGGATCAATCCTGTGGAGCCAATTAAGCAAAACAGTTTAATTTATCTAATACCCTGTCTACACTCATTGTCAGGTCAAATACTTAGGTCAGAGTAGTAGAACAGGTGCAATCAGACTAACCGAACATAAAGTCCTAGCGAAATCTAGATTGGTTGACCCGAATAAGATAAGAAATCTAGAGAAGTGTTCGGTTATAGCACTCACTACATGCAATTACACACAACCATGCAGTAGAATAGAATGGGATAAGATGATTTATAACGGAAGCTTTGTTTATCGAATCAACTGCAAACACGTGTAATAGGAATGATTCAACTCCTGTCCCAGATATCTACAAAATTCTACTACCCCTACGACAGTTAGGAGAGAACAAAAATACTATAAAACTGAAGTTTCGAAGTCGTGTGATTACAATTGATATGACTATGAACAGTAATAAATTTTGTTCAAAACGTCATCCAATAAATAATACTGTTTCCCTGTGTGTTATATCTAATAAACAAACGGATATGGTCTCTCCCTGCTATATGACGTTTTTCTAGATATACTACTTGGAAACCTTATCAGTAGAACACGCCAGATGCCTACTACAAAAACCGGATTTAGCCATTATGAACACCATAAACTGTTCAATAGAAAACTGTAGATAATACAAATACGACACCTTAGCCTCAGCCCTAAAGCTAAATTTAATCATAGACCTGACCCTAGCCTAAGTCCTAACTCTAATTCTGAACCTAAAATTAATTCTAGCCATGACCCTTACTCTAACCCTAACTTCAGTCTTAATCCTGATCTTGACCTTAAACCTAACCCTATTCATGTCCCTAAAAAGCTGTTAACCCACTACCTGAATAGTATTCAAAAAAGGGAAAGGGATGAAATTTACACCTCATTTTGTGCGTAGCGTTCATACTGACGCTACAATATATACTGGTAAGTACCGCTATCCAATGAAGAGTATAAGTTCAATGTCATTGATCCGTACGCACTCATAAATCTCTACTCCTTAACTTGACCCAAAGTTTTACATTGAAAAATCTAATTCGGGGTTATTAAGGACATTACGATAGTTGTTCGATTGTACATTCACGAGAAGTAATGTTTAATATCCAGGTTTAGTTCTTTGGATGCATAACTTTATTAAACTACAAATAATAGTTCGTAGAGATGTAACTGGTCTCAATTTCGATCACAAATTGAGTTCTTCTAGAGAGCTACTGATAACCAGGGAGAAATGGACAGTCGTTTCGTCCTATTTTGACATTCTTCAGTACCATGGATCCATTAACCCACCAGGGTTCAAACTGAGAGGCCCTCGAGTTACAAGGCGGGCTCATTGACCATTCACCCACTGGGACGGATTCCAATAACCTGTCAAATCTAACTCCTGCAAATTTGTGGCATATAGCGTGAACCCCAACCAATATTATTTGAGTGTGTTTGTCCTCATACCCAGCTTGTTCGTGAGGGGAGTAATTCTGAAGAGTAGCAAACAAGGATGGAAGGTTATCCAGTATTCCTCAGCGAATACATTTCGGCGAAGTTTAACAATAGCGTCCCAGGAGTTCGAACGCTCAGATGACCTTGAATACTTGTTAGTTGTTGGCTGAGGCAACTTAGCATAATTCTAGCGCGAAAATTCTCAGATGCAAATTTCACTCAGATCACGTATTTCAGTATTACCTGGATAATGGATTGATTGGACGTTCTCGTATATGTAGGTGTGCTGCTCCAGTGAACCTGCAGCCGTATTCCCAGGTCATTGATGGATATATATTTAGATGTACTTAGTTTAGGAAACGAATAAGTGTTCATACTGGTAAGTGACACTCTTCTAGGAACTTTCTATGAAAAATCGAAACTTTCCTTGACGAATATACTGTTTCTGTGCCATTACTGGATTTTGAAGTCTGATGTGAGATCAACTACCCCTCAGACAGATAACATATTGACGTCTACTGTTCAATGGTTCATATTTTGTCGAGATTTGGCGTCATGGAAAGTGAAACAGTATTACACAAGTTTTGGGAGGAGTCGGTGTGGTCGTTCATATCGACGAAACAGTCCTTATTAAGAAGAAATACAATCGCCAACGTTCTAGAGCAAATAACGTTTGGGTATTGGGAATTTATGACACCCAAATTCGGAAAGAATTTATTGAACTTATTCCAGATAGGAGTGTTGACTGTCTTCTCTCTGTTTTTCAGAGACTCGTCTTACCGGGCACTACCATTCACACGGATGAATGGGTAGCATATAACCGATTATCTGATTTGGGATATATACACCACCGAGTTAACCATTCTGACGACTTCATCGATCCGAGAACCGGCACTCATATTAATTCAATAAAAGGTTTCTGGGGAAGACCAAAAAATAGAATAAGAACTATAAACGGCTCTCAAAATCAAGTTATTTTTAGTCAGCAAGATGAATCCATGTATAGGAATTGGTTTAATTTAAAAACTGACAGTCCTCATTATAACTGGGACATCTTTTTCTCTCATATTAGACAAAAATACCCTGTTTAATGTGTTTTTTCATGCTTTTTTATGTAAATATACGTTATTTTTTATGCAAGAATCCTCCATTTTTCCGCTTGGTCAACTCAAGGTCACTCGTGCGTTCGTATCCCTTGGAATGCTATTATAGAACTTTGCACATTACATTTTGTAACCAATCTTGAAATCAGTGAACTTCATGAAAATACACTTTTATAAAATCAATTGAATTGTTTTAAAACATTACTTACTTGAAAATGCATTTGTAAAAAATAGAATCCCCTGTAGAATTCAACTACTGGAAGTAGCGGTGATCCACCTTCAGTGGTACATGTTGCCAGATCTATCTCTTCAGGTACTTGTAAACAATCTACATTAATATCTTTAAATGTAAACTGGTCAAGTCCTCCGTGTAAAGCTGCACTAACAGCATCAGGAGCTGATATCGGCGGTGGTAGAATTCTATCAACAACTGTAACATTTGTTGAACTACCACCACTATTACTCATTATGCCTTCATTACTTTGACCAGTCCCTTGATTTTTAGACGGTTCAGATAGAACAACTACAGAGAAATTTTTTGTAAGATATTCTCTTAGGGCACTATTTCTTTCTATACGTGCTTGAGCCTGTGATTTAACGTCTTCTAAATCTTCACGTAAACGTTTTATGCCTTCTAAACCTTGTGTCAATTGACAGACAACAATATCTCGTGCAAAACTTCGTTGACATGTTAACAACTGACTACGATATTCTTCAATGAGATTAAAACATCCAAGAAAGGCATCTTTTAATTGTAGAATGAGACGTAGACTACCTCGTATCATTGGAGGATAATCAACTGTTGGTAATATATTCACTGCTGTCTCTGACATCTCGTATGTATATTAGAATAGTTCTTTGTTCTATGGGATGAATGCTTTTAAGTAGAATCTCCAGGGGAAATCAGTTCTTAAACATACATAATTTGATAATACTCATATTATAAGCATATTATGTATCTATATATATCAATTGCCTCTACATTTACGTGTTTCTAAATAAGACCATCTAACGTTCAATAAAACGTATACGTGAGAGAATTTCGAATATTTGGTTGTATTGATTAGTTTATGACTATATATGTATATATAGCTCATTACAGATGTAATAGAGTTTTAATGAATTCATTGCTAGCCTATTTATTGAATGTTTAACACATTTTTCATGAGATAATTTGTTAAATGTTTCAAAACTTGGAAATATTTTCGCTAATCAATTGTCTTATAACTTAAAATGAAGCAAGAATGACTTGAAGATACTGTTCTACTGTAGTTATCGAAAATAATGAAAACTATGAGGAGTACTGGCAGACTTCTTGGATGGATGACAGAAAATTGAATTTTTATTCAATGTGAAAATGTGTATAAAGGCAAAGAGTTCAGTTCTATATTACTTTGTTGATTGGATATGTCATAAACACGCATGCACGAACGCACTCACACATACACACATATGCAGGTAGTGAAATAATATTATTTACTGGATGAAAGGAGATTGAAGTCAATGCAAGAACTGAAGCGGAGTTATGTTACTGCCCATCCCAAGCAAAATACTAAGCTGTGTCGTCCTAGAAGCATTAATCAAACACGCCTTGGAGTCGATCGGGAGGTTATTTGGAAACTACTTCGCTACTACAAGGTGCCTCCAACAATTATTCATCTCATCCAACAGTTGTACGACAATGCTGCATGCCAAATAATCCACAACTCAAAGAATCCTTCGAAGTTAAAACAGAAGCAAGACAAGGTTGGCTGCCTGCTATCTCCAGTGATTTTCTTGATTATGAGTGGTAGACTAGATAGTGTGACAGACAGAGAGCGGGCAACTATAAAACAGGCCTAAAATGGACCCATACAAAAAACTTGGAGGATCTGGACTTCGCCGATGTTATATGTCTGATTTCCCACAAACTGCAAGATATGCAAGTGAAAAGCCACAAGTTGGCGGAAGAAGCATTAAAGATAAGCCTTCAGATGAACACAGAGATAAAAGAAGTGATGAAGATTCCTGGCCAACAGTGACAGGAACAATAACAACAGACAACAATCAGCATAAATGGGAGGAATATGAAAGAAGCAACCTACCTACCTACCTACCTACCTACCTACCTACCTACCTACCTACCTACCTACCTACCTACCTACCTACCTACCTACCTACCTACCTACCTACCTACCTACCTACCTACCTACCTACCTACCTACCTACCTACCTACCTACCTACCTACCTACCTACCTACCTACCTACCTACCTACCTACCTACCTACCTACCTACCTACCTACCTACCTACCTACCTACCTACCTACCTACCTACCTACCTACCTACCTACCTACCTACCTACCTACCTACCTACCTACCTACCTACCTACCTACCTGGGAAGCATCGTTTCATCTACATGCGGACGAAACTGACGGGAAAATCAAAGTGAGGATCGATCGGGAAAGCAAGGCAAGCTTTCATTTCTCACATGTCCCAAAAGAGATCAACCTGTCTATTCAGCATGAAAAATAAGATCTGGTTTTTCAACTCCAATGTGAAGTCAGTGCTACTATACACGGATCAGAGACTTGGAGCCCTGTCACGAAGGTTACTTCGAACAAACTACAGACCATCATCAACAACAGCTGTCTTCACTCAATACTATTCATGCTCACATGGCCAAAACAGATCAGCAACAGAGATCTCTAAGGGTAAGCCAACAAACTATGAACCATTTGTGCAACAAGTATGCCGGACGAAATGGAGGTGGGTTGGCCATACTCTGAGAAAACCATCAAGTGACATCATAGGTCAGTCCATCACTCGAGTGGGACCCGATTGTTAACTAATATAGGATTGGCTTGGCGAAGGATTTGAGGTAATCAGTTTACGAAGTCATTGACTGTCAATTCGAGGCACTTGAGGAGGTGTAGACTACCTGACTGGGGTCTTTGAAACGATAGGAATCGATGGTTGGAAACTGTTGACAACATCATCTCTGAATCGTTCTCAGAAGCGCAGATGAATTCAGGATTCACTAAATCCTAATTATTCTCCATATATATATGTATTGGTTTGCAGGGATTTGATTGATTAGTGACATCTGTTAGAGAACTATTGGACTACTGGACAGCCAGCTATCTCGTCAGCCTAGTTTCGGACTCTTCATCAGTACTCACCCACCTACACGGTTCGAACTCAGAACCTTCTAGTTACAAGGCTAGCGAACTTTTAGACCATAAAGCTGCTGGAAGCCGATCTAATGGCCAGTCCGTGAATTCCAACTTCTGCTAATTCGCAACATAGCATGACCATTTAGCAGTTTCTGCAGCGGGTATTTATCATCACACCCGACCTACTGCACCCTCCGTATATTTATTCTTTCCCCAATACATTTTCGTTTATTGTAATTTCATTAGATTTTATGGGTCGTGACAACATGAGCTGTTTCAAATTTGGACAAAATCGTAGGTCAAAAATTCATCTCAGATACCATAAATTAAATTTGCATATTCTCTTAGATGGTTCACTGGTGGAATGTTCGGTAGCCTAGTGGTGGATTCGGGTTCGATTCACAGCCAACTCATTCCTACACCTCACCAAGCTTACTGGCCGGTAGTAAGATCATACAATAGGCAAGGTTGAGCGAATGAGGGAGGCTAGCTACTCCACTTGGGAGTTATAGGAATTTTCTATTCCCTTCAATTGTCCAATCAGTCTTAAGACGCCATAATGAAAACAAGATGGTTGGTCAGAGAGGATAAGCTACAAGGGGATCTGGGACCACCCGTCCGACATACATTCAGGAAGAAGTAGATGTGTATTGGATACTTTGATTGAACACTAGTCAGTGACTAGTGTAGTATGTCTAGTTCTTTGTTTGGTGCAAAATGAATCTTATCAGTCATATTTGCAATGTGGTCAGCATTTTAGGTGGCCCACCATCATGGTATACTCTAAACTGTTTTCAGCAGATTGTCGTAAACAATCAGCAGGAAGCATTCAGCCCTAGATTTTGTACTTGTTGGCTGACAGTTGACAGTCAGGAAAGCGTATCTCCAGTCTTGAAGGAAGTCATGTCTCTCACCTGAGAATTGAACATATGTCAGTCATGAGACTGAATAGCTCAGTGGTAACGTCTCTGACTGCATCACTGGGTGGTGCGGGTTTGAATCTTAGAAGTGACATGGTTTCTTTCAGGACTGAAGATACACCTTGGTGACTGGTAAATACCGACAAGCACGAAAGCTGGTTCCAAGACTTCCTACCGACCGCCTCCAAATATCTCATCATCAATAAGACTTAAATCCCGGCTTGAATAGTAGATAGGAGTTAATTCTCGTAATGAAAGGTCGTTAACTGAACAAGTTACATCGGATAAAATATAGTGTGCAGTTCATTACCTCACATAATAACTTTCAATGATAGTGAGGAGAATTACATAGGAAACACTAGTTGATCTGTTGATATTAGGTGGTTGGAGGCAATCGGCACGAAGCCCTGGACCCAGGTTTCGTGCTTGCTGGCATTCGTCAGTCTACATCAAACAACGCACTAGATGCATGACAGTAGTTACTAGCTAGTGTCCAGTCAGTGTTTCTGACTGCAGAGCTGTGTGATACGGTTTTTGAGTCCCATAAGGGAAATGAGTTCCTTCAAGATTGGAATTACGCTTTGCCAACATTTGCGAAACCTAAATCCAAGGTTTCATGCCGATAGCTTGCAACCATCTTGTAGTGAGCCAATGATAGTGATGAATATACCTAACTAACAACAACAGAAAACATCAATCACCATCAACAGGACACGTTTGAAGTAAGTCATTTCTTTCAGTTACCTGACGCTGGCACCATCTTTTCAACCACTGGCTGGCTGTACGGATGAAGATTTCAAATGGAGGATTGGAAAAGCAAGATAGATCTTAATTGCTCCAAAATCAATGTGGAAATCTAACGTACTCAACGTACTAATGTCAAATAAGTTATTCTATATAGTTCAAAGATTTGATCCGTGTATCACGAAGGATATTTTCAAAATGCCTCAGATTTTCATTCATAGGCCCTTTCGCCACCCTCATACTGAATCTCAGATAGCCGTTGAAATAGGATTAGCAACAAGAAACTCTCCAGTGGAACAAACCAACTATGAGCCGATTGCCCAACAAATATGTAGGGAAAAATGGAGATGGATCGAGCATATAGTGAGGAGACCGTCGAGTGACATCTCTTACCATGCCCTAGAGTGGGATCCGGATGGGAAGGGACAAGTGAATCGTCATTACGAGGGTGACAAGGAGGGGGTCGTGGGATAATGAGATGAGAGATTTCCAGCAATCGTAGACTTAGCTGAATAAGACAGCAGAAAATAGAAGAAAGTGGAGATTTGTTGTAGAATCCCTATGTTCCACTTAGAACCCAAAGGAATAATAATAATAATACCCCATTAATGGGACATCTTTAGTAGTTTTATAGTTTGCACACCATAACATGAAGGTGTTGTGTCCATCCAAGTTGCGCTTCTTTTCCCGTAATGAAATCGATGAATGGTTTGTTATATCATCACAAGGTAGGCATGTTCACTGTATATATTCTATGAGGACAACAATACAAGTCATCTGTTAAACTGCGGATAAACATTCAGACGGCCAAACAGAAAAAATTAAGAACAAGAAACTCTAGGAAAGAAGAGTTCAAGAACTTATTGGTCAACAAATACTCCGAAGAAAATGGAGATTGATCAAACTCGCATTGAAGAGACTGTGGGATAACATCGCCCGGCAGGCCATCTCTCGAGTGGAACCTGGATAGGAAACAAGTGATGAGTTTAGAGTCGATTCAAGGGTTTACATGAAGGAGACCATATGCAGAGGAGATGCAAACCTATGGCCAATCGTACAGCCAGCTGAAGAGGACTGCAGAGAACGGGACAAAGTTAAGTTATGCTGCTGAAACTCCATGTTTCACTGGGAACTCAAGGGACCAATCATATTAATAATATTTCTATAGTTTTGGTTTGTAAGGGTTAG